GTATATACACATATTTAAATATATATTATAAATTATTTAATTATTTTCAATTATCATTTCATAATCTTTATATTTAATTCTACCAATTTCTCATGACAATTGGTGATCAATAATTAATTAGGATATTATAACATAATCAAAACCCAATCAATCTGACTAAAGCTGCTGGAAATACTGAAATAATTGCAACTAAGTTATTATAATAATAAAACTCATTATGTTAAACCCATACTCAGTTTCCAGAGTGGGAGATTACCTTTATATTGCATTAATATCTACATTATAGTCTAGGCTTTCACACCATGAATAATACAACAGCAGGGTTATTAGACCAAACGTTCTTACTTCCTATCTGTTTACGTTGTGCGTGTTAGAAAGAGTTGCCTCGCAGCAACGTAAACATTTACTCCGTCCCTGCTGTGCTCCTACAGAAATAACCTTTTATTTATTTTCTTCCAGCCGATCTGACTTATTGTGCTTCAATTAACGTTGAATAGCGTGTTTGGACAGAGACTGAAAAGTGTGAACAAAGCGACCACGGCCTTGCCGCCAGCCTTCTGCTTGACGCTGTGTTTCAGCAGGTCAAGCAGAAGAAGTAGGTCAGCTAAACTGGGTCACGCTGGCCTATCGCCGATGGCCCTTGAGCCAAGCACCGTGGTATTAAGTGTAGGCTACGCCGCCCTCGTTAGAGAACAATCATTTTCACTCTGCATTATCATCCTCTGATTCTTCATAGACCCCAGGAGTCAGGCTGGTAAACAAAGCACTCGGAAAAGAAGATTAAGATTCCTTTAAGGCATCGGGCAGAAGCTCCAGTGAATCACTGTAACGGCCTTCAACTCCTAGATCTTTGTTTGTTGTTTACCTTCGATTTCTTACGAGTAGTTGCTTACATGTGGCTTGAATCTGTATTTGACTTTGGGTATTTGAAATTCTTTCTGTATTTGACTTTGGGTATTTGAAATATACTGATATTGATATTTTCTAATTCTTGTTATTTAACACACTAGAACAAATGTTATTTTCTTGACTTTTTTTTCGTTTGTTATTTAACACACTAGAACAAATGACTTTTTTTTTCAACATCCTTTGAAGACTCAATGATCATTCTTGGACCAAAACAAGTGGAAAACCAAATAGATTATGGATAATATTATGAACAAATATTTTGCTGTTAGAGGTTCCTCTGTGGTCACCTGACACAGTCAATCTGTCAAATCACCCAGAGTTCCCCTGACATTATTGAGTGTGCTCCACTCAGTCCTGCGTGGTTCTGATTTCCAGTTGACTTCAGTCAGTGCCATGAACAAATTGTACCTCAACATAATCAACTGCTCTGTCTGTTTTCCATAGACTTACATACAGTATAAACCAAATGACTTTTGTCTACAGCGGTTTTCCGGGGCTTCACTCAGAGCCACCAATGGCTCTTTCCATTTCTTACGTACAATCTATGGTTTCTCCACTGGGATAATTTAGGGCTTAGCATAAAGTAAGCAACCTTTTGAGGGTTGTTTTCAAATGTTTAAATTCTATTCTAATAGGATTCTCACTGTGAATGTGAATAAGACAAATTCTGAGGAACCAAACGATCATACCAACTATGAAATGACTGTTGTCCACAGTTTATTACAGTGAGTATTTCTCCATACGGCAGGTTTGTAGCTCAGATGTCCCGCTTCATTAATTCAACCACTAAGGAAAACCGTCCATCCTGTGGGATAGTACTTCACTTACCTAAATGCATTTGTGATTTTATTGGCTCTGAATGTGTGTTATTACCACAATGTCCTTCTTCTCTATGGTTTCTGTAAAAACAGCCTAGGGATCCAGTCACTGCTGAAATGAGTCAGTCCATCAGAGAGAGAGAAACCAGTATCACCACCAACCATGTGTCATTATATGTTCCCTGAACTTCCCGGTCGGAGCTCAGCAGCTGTCCCCGTCCGCATTTGCAGGTTCCGAAAGATATTCAGCACATCTGTGATTTTCATTGCTCATTAGGTATAGCATATAAAGCAACGTAGAGCAACGGGCGAAAAACCGCAGAGATGAGCCAGATTTGGCTTCACTTCTTTGGTTTGATTTGATCTGAGATCCAGTTTCTTATGAGCAGTAAACACGCCGCAGGGCATGCTTGACATCTGGGGTAAAGGGGAAAAAAATTCTCTGTCGTCATGACATGTCATGGAGATCGGTTTGATGGCATTGTTTTGCAGAATGTACTTGGTGATGTTGGCAGCAGAAAACAATATGTGGTTAGTTTTTCTGTTTGGATCTGGTTCTCTGTGACTCACTCTTTTTGCCAACCCTGGTGGGGATGCAGTGAAGTGGCTAAGCTGGAACATGTGTTGCCGTCCTGTGTGTCATTTAGGCAACATGGCGCGTTGATTGGATGACATCTGCCCACACTGTCACCGAGGAACTTTTGGTTCCATGAGGGACATTTTGTCTGATCCTGCAGATTGGACCACGCTGTCCTACTGTCTGCACACGCAGTGACATTTACTTTAGCGATTACATTTCTCTGTAGTCAACAAATTAAATTAGAGCACAGTTCTGCCCCCTTCAGTGCAGTTATGAAGACATCTGATTCACCCTGAGCCATGGTGGGATGGACATAAATTATCCTGGTCTACATTCACAGTAAAGATCTTGGCTGACTGATCCTGCTCTGAGCTAAATGTGTCAGATAATCATTATATTTGATCCCCTCATCTCTTCACCTTGGAGGAGTTGTGAATAGGTCTTAAAGGGAGATGGTTATCGCTGAGCTGAACCGTCTCAGGTGTGTTTATTCCACCGCTGAAGACGCCGTGGGCCTTCAACACACCCAAACATGCTGGCATACAGGCAGAGTAACATTTAATCACATGAGGAGTGCACATGTTCATACACATTGGTGTATGAGCAGACACTTAGTCTTCATCACAGCAGGGCTCATAATTTATTAACGTCCGGCTTCACAAACTCTTTCTAAAAAAAGAAAAGAAATCATCAATAAATAACACTTTTGTCACAAACTGCTTAGCTGGATGAAATCTAAAGTCATCTGCTAAACCACCACTGAAGCTATGCTACATGGGATATTTATGGTGTAATTTAACAATAACTAGTATAATTCATAATAACCTTTCAGAATATTATGATTTACAAGTATTTTCCCATGTGCTTCCTTTACAGAATTTGAAAAAATTTAAGTTGAGCATTAGTGGAAAAGCAGCAGGAGAGTATTGATGGGTGCAGTCTGTTGGCCAGATGGGTTTGGGTAAGCATAATTGTTGATCAAGCAGGCTAACTATTCTAAGGGACCGTACCAATGGAAGCCAGACCTCTACAAGAACTGGTTCTCGGTTTACTTCACTGCTCCTCATTTTGGAGATAAAAGTTTGAGAGGAGAGGTGGAGAAGATGAATGTTTTCAGTAAAAGAAAACACAAAGATCCTTGAGGAGGCAAAACATTTAATGGGATGGAATGTGATGCTCCAGAAATTGCTTTCTCAGATCGTCTGTCATATAAAGGGCCAAAGAAAGTGGAATATAAAGCGTTATATAGTGATCCTGTCAATGGTGGTTTGGATTTCCCACACAACAGATTCCAGTACAGCTGCTGAAAGGTCGTGTCATTTGTACTGCCCTTGTCCTGTCCCCCTGCTGCACATGGCTGCCGGCCACTGTCACTGCTTAATAAAGTGGAACTAAATCAGAATTGACAAATTAACAGATTAATTAGGTCAGAAACACCCGTTCTCATTGATTGTACTTTGGCAGACTCCCTGCTGAGTTGTCTCGCTGTGTTTACTATACTTTGGTCTATTACAATAATACGATTTTAAATGGTTCAAATGAAAACGGATACGCTGCTATCCTCTGTTGGTCAGAAAAAAAATAACAGCAGCTTGTGGGAGGAGAAGGATTTAATTTAAACACATCCCGAGACTTTTCCCAGAGAAACTGAACATGAAGTCTCCAGTGATGTTTCAGAGAGGCAGTTATTACTTTTTGCCTCACACCGAGACCCCCCCCCACCTCCCCTCTCCTTGAGGCTTTGTTGCCAAAGATAAAATGATCCATTTAGTCCTGACCCAGGACTGTAAAATAAGATGGTTTTCAGCCTTCTGTGGTCTTTTGTTTGGTATTACCCAGTGAATGTTTTGTTTGAGCCGTTCTAATGTGGTCAGCACTCACACGAAAGACATCCATATAATGTTGGCTCTATGGCTGATATGTCAGTGTGTGTGCACGTCGCTGACTGTGCACTTTCTACAAAAGTACTCAATGGAAATTTTGCATTTAGGGACCACTGAAAACTTTCCCCCCTCATACGTTTTCTCCTGGACCTTTAGGAATTTGTGCTTTTCCTACATTTTTCTTCTATGCTGCCGGACTTCTTTCTGCTTGCGTTAGTATATACGTTGGAAAGAACCTAAGAAAAGGGCCAGCGTCTGGACAAACTGAGCTAACAGACAGGCCGACACTGCCAAAAAAAGTGACCAAAAGCGAAGAAGGCAGTGTCTGAAACAAGGAAGGAAGAAAAAGTGAAAAGAAAAGTCGCACATTTGAGAACGTGAAGAGAGACAGGGCCCCTGACCTGACCACACTGACACACTCAGGTCTGTTCCCTGCCAGCTGTGCTTTGTGGTTCATTCGGGGAGGACACATTCGCACACATATACTTATCTACACATGTTGGTGATGAGGACATACTTGGCATCTGTGCGCGTGTGTGCATATACTCATTTTTGTTACCTATTTAGGTCCGTTTCTGGCGTCGTAACTAATTTTTTTTAGGCCCAGTAAACCTAATGGTGACCAGAGTCTGCCCCTAATGAGGCAGAACCTTCTTTCCGAGGCCCTGGTTAAAGTTGTGTTGAAGACGTAAAAGTCGTTGCCCTGTTTTTTCGTTTGCCTCTCTTGTGTGTTGGAAAATGGTCACAAGAAAAATGACCTCATATCTGGTAAAAACAAAACAAGCTTTGATTCTTCTCTGTTGACTGAAGGTCATGGAAAACAAGTTGACTGCCTCCAAAAGAGTCCTGAGGAGTTCACGTCCGACAACTCTAACGTCCTGTGGACAGGAGACGGTGAGGTGCTGCAGCGTTTACAGTAAAAACCCATAGATTTAATTTTGAACTGTGTATCTGAGAGTCTCTAATTGGAGAATGCAACTTTAAACAACTCACGGTTCAAGTGAGGTTTAAGCAACAACTTTGTTACATTTCCAGTTGATGCTGTTCAAATGAATTTAGTTTCCTAATTGGACCGCAGGCCTCGGTTCTAAACACTTGCATTCTTGCAGTTAAGGAAGAAGCCATGTTGATGTTTATGAGCCAGTAGTTAGCTTATTCTTTCCTTTTGGAAAAAAAAAAACCAACAGAGGTTAAGCTAACTGATGCTGCTGTTAATTAAAGCACTCATTCATATGCTTAAAAAACAGCTAAAATAAATGGCTGATCACCACAGTCCTGTTATATTCTGTTATTGCCAGTGTTTGAACCGCTGTCCCATCCATAAAAAAAAACATTAGATTTTGCCATAGATGTGAGCTTTGATCAATTATTATAATCTGAAAAATATAAAATAATTTCCCTCAGGTTGAATTTTGACACAAAACGTGTCAGTTTTTGTATTAGTCATCCGTATCCTTCTACCTCCTGGAGAATCAGGACCTGCCGTATTAACACACAAACTAAACACGGTCTATGATCCTAAAAAAAAGAAAACAATCTAAAATACCTTTGTGTGTGTGTGTTTAATATGACAGGCCCATCAAACGTGTTACAGAGAGTGTGAATTGTAACAAAAAAAATCCCTCCTGTCTGGGTTTGTTTTTCTTGCAGGCTTGGTGCCTTTGTGTTTCACGTCCCTGAACCTGTATGAACATCTGTGTGTGTGTGAGTGTGTGTGTCTAGTATATTTACACGTCTGCTGGAGTGTGCTGGCTGGTGCTCATTTCCATCTGTTTTTTTTTTCTTTTTCTCTTTTGAGGTGCAGGATATTGGTTTGCCGTGTGTCCCTGTGGCAGTCCATCATCTGAGCCTCTTCTGTCTCCACATGTGTGTCACGTCTGCCAACCATTAGCGTCATCGAACACAAACGGAGTAATTAGGAATAAGTGCTCAAAGGTGCAACTGTTGGACCCCTAGAACCTCCTAGAAGATCCCTTCCCACAATGCTTTGCCACATCGTGAGGCCGTCTTTCCCACTGCTGGAGCCCAACTGTTGCCCAACGTGCACGTCTCTGTAAATAGAAACGGTGCTGCTAACAGGCCGTGTGGGCAACCTGTGTTTTCAGAGCGGGCCTCAGTGAGTGCTGACTGGTCCTGGAAGGGATTATTTTAACCATGTGTACGGTTGTGTTGGACAAGCAGAGGGAAGAGAGGAAACGCAGCACGGTCGAGGAGCTGAAGGAGGGAAAGTTCCCTCCTAACCCAGCACTTTGTCATGCCTGCATATCATTCTGAGTAATACGCAATTTTTAATGCTTGTGTGTGAGTGTGGGTGTACATGTAGACATCGCACTGAAACAAAACGCGGGTGGGCTTTTACAGAATGACTGTTCTCTGTTTAGACTTTGAAGGGAAAAAAAACTGCCTACTCGTACGACTGTTGTTTGTGTTTGTCTTCCCATTTCTAGGAAAGAGGTTTTCCTCAGCGACCAGCAAAACCTGCTGTAACCTCGCTAACCCACGGCCCACCGCCGCCACCTCCACCCTTCCTCGCCCTCCAGGAGAGAAGCTGAGAATCGATACTCCACAGTCTGAGGGAGTGAGCGTGCCAGCCTTCGTAAGCTGAGGTTTGGGCGAGAAACATCAGTCAGACACAAACACAAATGCACGTTATAAACATTCAGACGTGCACATGCTGCACACACATGTTGATGTTTGCGTGGACGTAGGGGGACTTCCCACACACACTCATGATATCTTAATACACCAGCAGTGAGTGCAGAGTGGTACAGAGGGGTGGAAAAAACATCGAAATGGAATAAACAATGTTTCTCCGGCTGAGGCCAAAACCCACGTTGAATGAACAACAAAAAAAAACTGAACTATGTGCCTAAATGGCTGTCCTCCCTCTGCCCTCTGCTCGATACGTGCTCCTGTCTGAGTCAGATGGAGGACAAAGAGGAGGAAAATTAGTACAAACACATTTGCATATTCTCACGCTTTACTCCAGAGAGAATGCTAATCCACATATAGGCAGCAGGCTAATGAAGCTAACGCTTTCTCCTGCTACTGTTTCACTGCGTTCACACACATACATTAACCTACTTGGTATGCATAGGTTTCATGGATAAACACACCTACCGGTGCATGTGTACACATGCACACAAGTGTACATATAAACACACTGAGGCCACCGTAAATTACAGGCGTCCCATCTGGGAGCATTAAGAAGCTGTTAATGAATAGGGTGCTGCAGCAGCAGTGGCCACAAGTGGAGCAGGAGGGAGGAGCAGTGGAAGGAGGCAGGCTGATCGGGGTGGGGGGTACGTACAGCATCTGGGCAGCAGATATGTGTGTAGTCATGTGTGGAGGGAGTTGTGGTGAGGGTGCACAGTTTGGAGGAGGATTTAGAGATTTGTTTTGAAGGCAGTGCTCTTTGTGACCTGGCCTGTAGAAAAAGCAGCGTCACTTTGTGTCTTCATCTGTTACTGCTTCATACTGCAGTCCAGTGACTCACCACAGCAGATCATCTGCCTCCATCTCAGCCGGTCCTTTAGCCTGCGTGTCATCATAATGAAAGATATTAGCCAGGACATGTACGGGTGGGGGGGGGGTTTCTTTAAATTGTCAAGAATTGCCCTTGGAATTTACATTCAGGCCATTTTACACCTTCTGCCTCGTTCTCCTCCACATTCCGATCATTACCTGATTCCTACCAGAAATCCCGAGGGTTAAACAACCGCTGTTTCACACAGAATTATTGCTAACATTAATGCTTTTAGTGCAGTTGGAAATGTTGGAATGTGAAAATGGGTTGTGATCAGTGTAGGTGGGAAAAAAGCCCACCATGATGATTTAGTGTTGATTAAAATTGACCAAAATTTTGGAATTTTCAAACATGTAATGAAAATAATTCAACAGATCTGTTGGGGCAGTTTGGTTTTTTATTCGTATATTTATTTAATTAATCTGTCGTGTTTTGATTAGCGATACTGGAACCTTCTGGTTCTTTTATTCGAATGGCAAACATGAAATGCAGTTTTTTTTCTTTAATTGTGTACTGCTGTTCTATCCAACTGTAGGGATTTTGTTGAGAAAATAAAATGACAGTGGGGGGTCATGGTTGACCACTCTGATTGGCCTTATTTTAAACATGGAGCTCATTATCTCTATAAATAACCTGATTAAAATAAAAACAGGCCCAGGTGAATGGTATAACATTACTGAAGCAGTTGCCTCTCTCTCTCTCTCTCTCTCTCTCTCCTGACATTACAGAAACTGTCAAGGACGCTGGCAGAAGCTCCGTTTGATTAAACCACCTGGAAATGATCCAGAATGCCCTGAAAACATGTTTAAAAGGGGGCGAAATGTTAAAAATATACTTAATTGCCCACCTTAATGCAGGGCTAAATGTAGGTGCGTGCGTTTAGAGATCAAACGCTCAGTGTTACGTTACTGAAATCCAAGCCTGACTCTGCTCAGAGGAATCAGGTTGTGTTGGGGGGGAGAGGGCAGCTCTCAGCTCCAGACTAATGGCTTCACCTTATCTATGGGAGGTGTCGCAGGAGGTGGGGCAACAGAAGGGCCAGTTCTCTTAAGTGACCTTTTAATACCCTCAGTTCATTTCACAAGGCTCGCACTGGCCGCCGTTCAAAGTGGACACATGGGCGATACAGGCGGCAGAAGTGTGCCTCTGAAGGAGACAAAAGACACCACCTGTATGCTAATGCATGAGCATTCAGGGGCTGCAGCGGGGCAGAGGCAGCAGGAGTGGAGTGTGCCGTTCTTCTGGTGAATGCCAGGAGGTTGTAAAATGCAAGCAGAGGGCAAAAATTGATTTTTGGGAAAAAGGTTTATTCAAAGGAAAGACACAAAAAAAAAATCTGAATTGTGCCACTCTGCTGTAACGAGGGTGCTGTAAAATTGATTTTCTACGTCTTTAAGGCTGCACAGGAGAGAGAGAGAGAGAAAGTATCAGTAATGTGGACCAGTAGCAGGGTGGTGCAGTGGAGAGAAGAAAAGGGCAGGGGCAGTAAAATTCACTTCCAATCTTTGTGCAAAGTAATGGGATGTAAGGAGAGCGGCAGCGTGGGCCACTTACAGAGAGAGGGATGCTTGAGGAAACAGAAGATGCTGGGCTGTAAAATTCACTCTACCAACCTCTTCTTAGTTAATGCCAGAGCTCACACGATTGGAAGTGTAAGCAAGGGAGTGAAAACTGGGCAATAAAATTCATTTCCTCAGCTCTTATTACTTCATTTTCCTAAGAAAGAGAGGAGTGTGTCCAGGCCGAGGTTCGCCTGTTCATATGGAAAGAAGGAAGTGAGGTCGGAGGCTGTAAAAGTCTTTCTCTTATTCCCTGAAGTAATAATGAGAGTGGCAGCATGTGCCTGTTTGAATGGAGGGTGGAGTAATTGCCACTAAGCAGATTTTTGGGCCTGGCACAGAGAAAGAAGCAGCTCCTTCTTCTTCTTCTTCTTCTTCTCTTCCTCCTGCTGCTGCAGCCAGAGACCACACAGACATACTCTCTGTTCATTCATAAACACATCTATGTAAACAATCACAGGCATTTGTGTCAGATGGATTTACCGCTATCTCTGAGTTCATCCAGACGGGAGAGCAGCAGCGGCAGCAATAGTTGTGTTTTTCTCTCCACACTATCTTGTTTTAGCCCAAAAGCCTGGAGCCATCTATTTACCACTCTGCCTCAGAGTACGTATGTGTACACGCAGATCTCAGAGCTGCATATTTTCCCACACCATTTGTGCAGGCTAAAAAAACCTTAACTTTCCTGCTGTATTTAAACAGGAAATGGATGTCATCTAACCAAATCTTTTTGACCTAAACTAGAATCGATTGTCAAGTCTAAATACTAAAAAAATGTACAAAACCAGCCTTATATATATATATATTTTAAACCTACACTAGTTTGTTAAATGAATAAGAGCATAAATACTTCATGAAGCAGGGGAGGTTTTGGAGAAGTTCCTGGAGGAGTGGACTGACAACCTGGAACAGTTCTAATAACTCTGCTTCCAAAATCAGTGAAGCATTTTTAGTCCATTTCTGGGGCTTAACAAAGTAAAAGTTTGCATTGGGATTAGAGACATCCAGTTCTTATGAATGCTGTTTGGTCATAATGGAATGCCACAGTGTCACAGTCTCAGGGTTGTTCTGTCACTGCTGCTCTCAGTGTGACAGTCTGGATGCTGCTGCTCTGACTCTGCCGTCTGTCCACGTCTTCCCCATCTCTCCAGGTTGTCCAGGACTCCTGGTGCTTGGAAGGACGGACCATGTTGGTTCGTTTGAACAAATGTGAAGAGCCTCAGCTTCCTTTAGGGTGACAGCCTGGCCGGTCCATTTCAGCTGGGTTTCCACTGCATGGTATCTGACCCAACCTTAGTCACGTAGGTTCAAAGCGTGCCATTCGACCTGGAGTTTTGGATTCAATCCAAGCTCTGTGTTGTTGTGTTTCTGGGTGAGACAGTCGGCTCCAAGCTGCTCAGCACAGCCAGTATACATAGTCTGGAAAAGTTGGCTGCAGAACTTGAGGAGAGTTGCTTTCAAAACTTTGACGAGACACCGTCTTCAACAACATCAATAAGTTCACAGTCCCTCGCAGTAAATAACGACATGTGTGTTGACTGTGTTTGAGAGTGATTGACAGGTCATTCTGTCAAAGCACTAAAATATATTTGATGGCTAATTCCACAAATGAATGAATGCCTTGATTCAGACAGCCCTGTTTTAACCCTTCAGTGAATTAAGGCTGTAATTGTTTACCCACAGAAATCAAACCCTGTGTGTAGCAGTCAGTGTTCCTCCGGTGCTTGCTGAGGTTGTTTGACTTCTCCTTGTAAATCCCAGGGTGTATCTATAGCACAAGGGCGGCTTGTTTACCCAGCGATATCATTTAGGTTTCCCTTTCAGAGCCGTCTTGTATGTGTTGTAATGATGTAATTGTGCTTTGGTTAGTCGTCGTAATTCAGTGGGCAGGTCATTCACACTGAGCCCTGTGCACTCTCCCAGTCTCCTGTCATGTTGTTGTTGTTGTTGATGTTGATGTTGATGTGTCAGGAGCAGGAAAAGCAGAGGAAGGTAAACACAGGCCCTGGGTGGTCTCTCCTCCTCTGGACTGCAACTGCCTGGACACACTGTAAAGACTGGAGACAGGGGAAGAGTCTCTCCCTCTCTCTCTCTCTCTCTCTGTGTCTCTCTCTCCTAACCTGCACACCCCCTGCCCCCCACCCCCCGCTCCGCTCGCCTGTTTGTGGCCGCCCTCATACATATTGAAGGGCCTTTTGAGCCATCCAACGGTATGCTGCTTTTTCATCCTCCTCTCTCCATTTAAGTTGGAGTGTCAGTCTCTCCCTCTTATGCTCTCTGTGCGTCTGCCTGTATCTCTGTTAAAGTACTTTTTCACTGCACTATTCAATGTCTGTTTTTCTCACCCTCGTCCACCTGCCCACTTTGGTGCNTGCCCACTTTGGTACAGCCCCCCCCCACTTCTCCCCACCCTCTTCTTTTTCTCACACTGCTCAGCTCCAACTTATTTCCCTGCACATATTTTGGCTTTTCGTTCGTGAATTTTAAACACTCTCCTTAGAAAGGGTTGGCTTTTTAAGGAGAGTCTCTCTGGCCTGGTCTGTCTGTCTGTCTTTCTCAGTGCATTTGTGTGTTTTCAAAATGTCCCTTTGTGTGAAAATAGCATCGTTAATGAATTTTTCAAGACCTTTCTCTGTGATGGCTCAAGTATACCCCCCCCCCCGCCCCGGCTCTAAAGCACCTGCGGTAAATACAGTAATAATCTACCTCTGCTCTCCAATCATGCCTCTGCCCACATCCTCTTTATTATTTTGTCCATCTCTCCAGCCTCTCTGTCACTTCCTGCCGTCCAATCTTGTATGTTATGCCTCATCTCAACATCTTATTACATCTTGTGCCTCTCTGCTCTCCAACAGTCCTTCTTGTTTATTTCCTGTCTATTTCTATCTTTCTCACTCGCCCATCAGCCCCCTCCTGTTCATTTGGCATCTGTGCCTCCTTCTCCTCTACACTAACTTTTGCTTCCAACAATTTATGCTCAAACACTAAAACACTCTTTTTACTTTTATATAAAACTTCCTCCTTGTATCTCTCTCTCTTTTTTATTTTATTTATTTATTTATGTTTATACCCTGAGATTTCTGTCCGGAGTAAAAACGAGCGTTTAAACTCACACACGACTTTAAGACCAAAAAAAATCAGTAAAGTAATGTTTAATAGGAATCTGAGTAAAAACCCAACTTTCTAGTCCTTTGTAATTCCACACTTTAAACTAAAGTTTGTTTTTATCACATTATGAGGATGTTTACCAGGCCTTTCCAGGAAAAGGTTTTGGAAGTGCTGACGTTCACTGCTTCAACGAAGAATAAAATTGCCGGGGATAGGCAGGTGGGATTGTTCCATTCTCCGACTGCTACTGAACATTTTCAAAATTACTCATTTCCCCAGAGTAAGCTCTGCATTTTTCAGCTTGAGTCACCTGCAATGTCTGTGACACCACTTACTACAGTGTAGCAGATTCAGGGAAATGATGTATCACACCTCCGTAATTTCAATACACCCAGGGGAGTGAGCCGCAATTACAGGTCGGTCACGGTACATGTTTGCTAATTGCCGGCCCTGAGGTTTCTGTGCATCTTTAATCTGTGAATACAGGGTCGTTACAACTCTCCCTGCTCCAGTTCCTCTACTTCTTTTTTGCATATTGTCCCTGTTACAACCATCTTCTTTATGCTCATCTCACACGCCTCCTCACTTTCACTTTCATTCTTGCTTTTACATACTCGTTATCTAACAGTTGTGTTTTCCTTTTTTTTTCTCCTTCGTCCTCCTCTTCTTCCTCATCCGCCTCCTTCTTAGCTGCTCTTTGTCTCTCAGCTTGGTTTGCATGGTGGATACGCAGGCGTGTGTATTTGTGTGTCTGTGTGAGTGGGTGTGTGATTTCCCAAATCTCTGAGCGCAGTGAATTCTGAGTATCTGCAAGGCCACAAACTGCTACAAGAAATCGAACTCACCTCATGTGATCTCCAGCCTCCCTAAACGAAAGAATCATCATGTTTACATGTAGCACTGAGTCAGGGCTAAGGCTGCAGCTCAGCTGCTCCGTGTCCTTGTCCAGGTACATCAGCGTCCTTCAGCAACAGATGATGTTGACTGTTCTGTATGTTCTTAATTAATTGCAGACTAGTATGTGTTTAATTAACAGTTAACATTTTAAATGTTACCCAGTATTATATTAAACAAATAATATAATAATAATAATAAAGAAATCGAGCCACATTTGATATAACCTGATACTTCAGTAGTACTAAAGCAAAACACTTCTCTTACAATGAAAAGTATTAGAAAAGTTTTCTTTTTTGATGAATTAATTGTTTATATTATTGCGATACTCGGAGTCAGACTGAGACAATAAATGTATTTGATTAGCCGTGTAAACGCCCTGGATGATGAAAGTCATCTCACCTGACCTCCAGTCTCTCAGATAACACAACCATCATTGAATGTGGCTATGCATAATCAACCAGCACTTTGTTTACCTCTGTTAATTAAACACAGCTAATTAAGGCCTGGCACCTAACACGTCTCCTCTTCACAGCAACGCTCCACTTACTGGCTGATTAACTTTGTTTTGCTTCAGAATGGTTCCACCTAATAATTAACACTGTTTCCCGTCGCCTCTGGAATGTCAAGGAAAAATCAACATTCGCTCCAGTTCAGGCAAACACCGTGCGCTGAACACATTTGTTCACATGCAAAGGTGAATAACGGCTGCGCTGCTCTAACAAAGTGTCTCTATTTCATACACATATGCAATGCTAATTACAGGAAGCACTTCACTCCCACTGTTTGCAGAGAAAGAGCGTGAATGCATGGAGGAGCGACTCCTGCAGAGGAGGTGCTCTGTCTCACAAAGGAGGACATGGACCATGGAGGTCAGTGTGGTGAAAAATGTAAAGAATTTGTTACAACTGAGCTGCAGTGGGAACGTCACAGCATCTTTGTCATTTAAAAGATAATTGTTTCAATAGCAACAAGGCCCTAACACTTCACTATTTAATATTCTTCCATGAAAACAGTGTTAAACAGTTTAACATTGCATCAGCTGGAGGCAAGATGGCTGCCCGGGCAGTATACTTTTATGTACTGGCTAGGCTGGGCTAGCAGTTTTAGCTCATTGATTGGGTTGTTCTTCTGGTTTACAAGATATGGGGGAATAGTAACAGGTATGTGTATATACAGCATGCTAACCTTACATGACAATATACACTACCTGTCAACATATATAGGTAACTCTTTTACTGAAGAGGTAACTTTCTCAATATTCTATACATTTTTAGCTAGGCTAGCAGATAGAGCTCATCTTGATTATTGATCTGGTTTGCAGGAAAATGGAGGAAATTAATTAAGTACATGCTTATACGATATGCTAACAAAACAATACATCCTTTCAGGGTGATGGAGAAGCTGCAGCCATCAGGCGACGGTGGGAGACATCGTGGACTGTTGATCCATCTATCACAGGTAAACACACAAAGACAAACAACTATTCACACTCACATTACACAAGTAACCAAATTAGTTGTTTACTAAACTAACCACTAACCTACGAAGTAGCCACGTGGCTTTAATCTATACGTCTTAATTGTTCGTATTCAAACAGCGTTTTTTTTTTTTCGAACTCCCTTTGTCATTGGAGCACCACCTTTGCCACTACCTACCTTGCCAATCTAACCACTGACCTAGTTAACCTATATCAGTACTGTGTGCAGAATTCATCTGATACAGGTTCATCTTAGTTTGAAATAAATCAGATTAACTCAATTATCTTCTTTTCTCTGTCCCTTTGAGCAACTGACTGTTTAACCTGCTCTGAGATAAAGTGGAGCAGCAAACTGTGGTTAAAAAGGACTTGTTGTACAGAGGTATAATCACTAAAGTATAGGTTGTTCCACAGACTGAGGTTGATACTTTCATAGGTTTTTATAGATTTAGTACAAGGGAAAAAAGGACTCCTCTGTTTTGATTTGTCCTTTCAGGATCACAGAAAGTGCAACTCCATGACATCATCTAATTACTCTGGTGGAAATGGTCGGAGAAAACAAATTATGGCCAGTCGAGTTCCCATGCCTACATCAGATGGTTTTCCCTATCATTTTCATATATCTTATTTTCATGCCGCAGAACAGACTCAGTGCAAATTCCGTCAGGACTTGAGGTGAATCCAGTTGTGTTTACGAGTGTCTATATTTGTGTCTGTATAGATGTACACGCCAGCAGAAATCCCCGCACGCGTGTTTGTTTGCCTGATTGTCTTGACGCTCCTAAAAAACAAAGAAAACGCGTACGCAGATCAGGGCTGAGCTGCAGTTCTGCTCCGCTCCGTCCTTCTGTTTACTCATGCAGTCTTCCGGCCTGTAAATTAAAGGTCTGCTCATTTGGTTTCCTGATAGAGTTTTGACATAAATGTCGGCCGTGCAGCGCAGCCTTTTTCCTCAAATGCCAGTGACAATTACGTTGACAGTCCCTCTCACCTTCTTATCTTCCCACTGAGCCAGAAAAACAATTGGACTCAAAAAATTGATCCAGCAGGACACGCACTTCTCATGAATACAAAACACATCGGCGGAAATGTCCTGCTTGACAACGAATCGCACGCAATTACCCAAAGTTTTTGCTTTGCCCCTTTAAACCTCTTCAATTTGGACACAGTTTTACAATGCAAATTTCATAAAGGTGCAAGACATTTCTGTTGTGGTGAAATGTGTTCCAGAGGCATTTATGTTGAAAAAAGGGCGTTTTTTTTTTAAATAAGATTTTATTTCATCTTTTTGACTTTGACTTTTAACTTTCTTTCAAGAGAAAACTCAAGAAAAAAAACATTCTTGACCAATCATTTTGCTTTTTTGGGTTTTTCTGACTCACCCTGGGCCTGTGAAGCACAAACACACACTTATGCAAAGTCACACTTTGGTAATTTACACAGAATGAGACCCCGTGTTGTCCAGCCAAAAACTCCATGCAGTTCTTGGAAACGGACGTCACAACAGATGCTGGCTTTTGTAACTTTTCATCTTTGGCACCTGGAAGCTGAAAACCATCCATCCCTCCATCTCCCGTTCCCCGACCCCCCCTTAAAAAAACTAAACTGACATGCAGTCATCAAAACCAGGGAGCTGCTCTGCCCTCAAATGATGTACGGCTTCCTTTATGCATGATACAGCCTCCGAGAAACTTCTGATGCAACAGCTGATAATAATTTCCATGTGGCTGTGTCCACAGTGGTAGAATGTTTGTAATGCAGAGACTCAGCATCGTTTTCTACCCTTCATTCCAGTGAACAGTTAGTTCTTCTACCTCTTTGTTTCATGGCACTATATAATTAACTGTGAACGAAGGTTTACATCAGTTTAGCCGCGACTCATCACTGCAGACGGGGGCTGAGCCTTTGGTGGTTGCTCCTTTTATACCCAAATGTAATACCCCGTCATTGATCATGATTAATCGTGATTAATCCACAGCTGCTGTGTGACTAATCAGTTTCAACTCTCTCATTGATTGACAGCCCACCTAAAAACATGTTCCTCATTTTCAGCTTCTGTTGTAGCTTGAGCAGATATTCTGTCTTTTCTGGTCAGGGCTGTGTTAATTATAATATCCCTGAAGAAGCAGATGGCTCTGGGGTTTTCTCCAGTTTCTAACCTGCTCTCTGAAACGTTTGGACAACCCTGGCATAAACAGTGAAGACTCAGAACCAAACTATATTATACAAAGGACTCCACTTGAAAGTAGATCTTTTACAGCAGAACAAAATACAGAGTTTGAATAAAACTGCGGCGTGGGCGTCTCAATAACAGCACTTTCTCAATAGCCGTGGACACCAGAGCGCAGGGTCGGGTCTGGATTAAAAGAAGATGCAAATCAGTACCTGTAGTTGGCTCTTTTTCTCTTTTTTTTTTAGCTTTGAGCACTGGGTGAGTGGGCGGAACAGCACTGTGACAAACAAGCTATCAGATAAAGTGTTGATGAGCAATCAGGGCTTTACCTGACAGATTAATTATCCTGTGAAAGTATCAGGTGTCAATGCCGAGGCTGTAATCCTCTAAACAATGCACGCAGAGACTTCTACTGTTAATCTAATCTGGTTGTTTTTCTGTTCAGACAGAAATAACGGTGATTGACTCCTCGGCTGTGTTAGCAGTTATATATAATGATAAAGTCAGATTTATTCCACTCTCCTTCGGATTACATTGTACCCGTGTGAGGATTGGCTGCTGCTCTGCACATCTCCACCGTGTCTTTCAGTTCTGCACCAAATCCCACTGACATTTTCGAATCCCATCAATATCCTGCAACGGGATAAAGTCTGAAAAGTCGGGATGCAATCAGCGGTTTGATGCATGGTCTATCCTTCTTCTGCTTCTCCCATGTGATACCTGATAAAAGCTGATGTGCCGCTAAGCAGCCACAGCAAATGAAGAGCCGTGTCAAGCAGCAGCAGCAGGTTTGAAAACCTTCCTTCACCAATTTGGCCCCAGTGGATTGAACAAGAACTCCAGGTTCAGATCATTCACGTCACAGAACAGGACGGAAAAATCCATATTTTTTTAAATCCTCTGACGTTGTCTATAACAGCAGAGGGGTTGGTTTTATTTTTTATTAATTTTTTTGTCATATAACTAATGCTATATTTGACCACTTGTATAGTCAGACAAACCGTGAATAATGCAAGGGCAAAATGTAGCAGTTAAAATGCGAGGCGACTGCCGATGCCTCGCGCTCTTCAGAGGAAAAACCTGTAGGACAAAAATAACACCATCAGTGCAAGAAATCACTGCACAAACACTCAAAGATGTTGTCAGACCAGTACTGTGGCGAGGGCGGTGCTCCAGTCAGAGATAAGGAGTGAGCAGGAAAAAAACAACCTTGAAGGACGTAAAAAATCATAATCTTGAATTACAAATGAATGTTTCACAGCCATTGTTTAGACGTTTTAAGTTGCATAATAAATGTGTAAATATTTAACAGGTATCCAGTGAAAATGTTGTTTAATAATTTTGCTTTTCTTTGGCATTGTCCTACATTATTTTCTCTCCTCTTCTCCTAATTTCCTTTTCCTTTCAGTCTGTTTTACAATGATGTAAAATAATCCATAAGTCACAAAGAGCAAATCGAAATAGATCTTTAAAAAACCGTGCAGAGGTTTGACCTGATCATGACGTCTAAATGGACTCATTAATGCAAAGTTTGTTTAAGTAGTAACATTAAGAAGAAATATCGTCGATATAATCAGGACCAGAGGACCACACGTCACCTCGGTGCACATTAATATCGCCTTGTCCAAACACCGTATGTGCTGTAATGCTGTGCACAAACAAAAGGGAAATAAAATGTAAAGCAGGGGGGAAAAAAACAGCTAATCCAGGGAGACCTGCGTCTCTCGGACAGCTCTCTGATTGGCTACTCCTACCGTGGGAGGCGGTGCTTGGAGATGAGGGCGTTTCACAAAACCAGAGTCCACGCTCGTCAGACTTTCATTCACTACGGATGTGTTGAGTTGACACCGTCTCTCTACGATTCACACCCTGCGTTCACACTTACTCGACTTATTTCCTCTGATCCTGCTGACGCACCAGCTCTGCCTTTGGTGCACGGAAGCATCGGTGGCTTTTTTTTTTCTACTTTTCGGTTCATTTTGTTTGTGTTTGCACAGCCTACCTGAGTTGTGTTCAACTCCCTTGCACGCCTGCACTTCTCTCCTCTCCGGCATGGATTTGGTTTGGATTGTGGGCTTCGTTGTGAGCGTGTGCTCCTGGTTCTCCAGTGCGGAGCGGCACAGCGTCTACTGGAACAGCACCAACACAAAGTGAGTCTTTGGATTCTTTTCTTTTTTCTTAAAAAAAAATCCCGATCCGTTTTTAAATGCACCATTAGTCCGTGCTTAACCCGTGATGAGTTCAACTGTCATGTTAAACATCACGGTCCATATTCAGGTGAAGTTAAAGTGCGCAGTTCATGCATATGCAGAAATGTTTTCCTAATGAATTTGTTTTGGAAGTAACTGCTGCTGCTGCTGCTGCAGTTGTTGTTATGATAATGCGAGATAGTAGTGAGCCCTCTCTCCCTCCCCCCTCTGCCTCTGTCCACCTCCTGCACCTCCTCCTCCTCCTCCTCGGTCTTCTTCTTCGAGCCTGTTATTATGCTGCAGTTTACCTGGAATACTTTGTCTAACCTGTTCAGATTTAATCCCTTTCGCAATCTGCGCTCGCAGCCAGTGCCGCGGCTCCTGTGTCCTGTTTGTCTGAGTGAAGTGTCAGTGATGGAGTGAAGCGGCACATTCTTTGGAGGAAAATAAAGGCGTCTTTATGTGTGGGGTCGTGTAGTGGGTTTGTTAGACAGAAAAATGCTGGGTCTTGGTGTTTTGGTGGTGTATTTCTGTGGAGCCCAGCTTTTTCTGTTACATATTTAACGTGGAGATGATTTATGGGCTCTCCTGATGCAGCAGATCACTCTGCTGGCTTTTCCTTCCACTTAGAGGAAAACTCCAGTGGATCTGATACACACAGCTCTGTAGTCGGGGGTCGGTGAGTACGCTGGGGATAATACACAGACATAGATTCAACACAGCAAAAATCATTGGAGGAAAGTTCATGTTAAAAGGCTCAAAACTCTACTACAGATGTAGTGCAACAAACACTGACATCTCAGTATTATTAGAAAGGTAAAAAAAATTAAATTATTCAATCGAAAGCTGATCAGGGAAGTTGGTTCTTCTGTGTGTGTTTGTGTTAGCGTTTAACTATAGCAGCTGGTATAGTTTATGTGGAAATAAACTTAACATTTTTTGTTTGGTGAGGAAGCAGCTGATGTTGCATTGTATTTGCATTGATGTTTCACAGTTTCTGCTCTGCTGGATCACACTGCTGTTAACGACTAATAATAACCAGCCGCTCTGTCCGTTCAAATCCACTACAGCTCTCCTTTAACTTAACACGTTTCTCTTCTACTGCTGTAATCGTCGTCTGTCGTCAACATTTCCCAGAACTGACAAATGGAGTTTACTTGCCAAGTCTCAGATTTTTCTGTTGATTATACATCCCTGAGTCACAGCACAAGTGTTGAAATGTCTGTTGCAATATCTTCACCATCTGACAGAGGGCCCTAACCTCTGAGTGGGAGTGGGAGGCTGACGCGTCCCCCACCTAAATCAAGAGCTATCTCTTGGGGTAACATGGCTGTCAAGGAGACATGGGAGTGTTCATATATCAGGTAGTAAGACGAGTAATAATGGTGTATGACAGAGACAGAAGAGGTAACTTGAGATCTGCCCAGTAGGTCACGCTGTGGGAGAGAGATGGATTGCTCAGGGAGAAGAAATCGGAGCTCAAATTGTTGGGGTTAGGGGCCATTCGGCGTAAGTGGGGGTCAATTAGAATTATGGTTGATGATGGCTGGGGTAAGATGGCTCGGGGTGGGAAAGGGGGTTAGGTTTACTCGCAGCAGAGATGAACGCCTACGTGCACCAGCACAAAAACACACCCTCCGTCACACAGCTGGGCAAGCACAAACAGAGACTGCTGGCAGACAGGCACTGGATCCCAAACCAGGACACTCAATCACACAGAGTGACACCATCTAAATCAATCAGTGTTCTACACCGGTGTGCAAACACATGCCTGGTCATGGTTGTGAAACAGCCCTATCTCCAGATCCTCACTCTTCTCCTCAGTTTGGTGTTGGAGCGCTCTTCCCTCTTCCCTCCTCATCTCCTCTGTGGTTACAACTACAGCATTCGCTGTTTCTCAGAAAGGGCCGTAATTACAGCCAGCAGAGCCTTTCACTGAAAACCTTAGCATGAAGTCAAAAGTCGCAGATGGAAGAGGCGTTGTTTTGCGTCCACTGCTTTAGAAACGACTGCAATCACTGCTGCATATATCCTAGTAATCCAGCCCTGTGCACTTGCTGTTTATTTCCAGATGACTGTGTTAAATCTCTGCCTTTGGCTCTTCTTAATCCTGTATTCCCAGAAAAAGCACAGGGTTTCTGAGATGTTTTTTTCTTCTTTTTGCTCTTATTCCCTTTTTTTTCTTCTTCTTCTCTCCTCTCCCCTTTGACCTGGTACTTGACACACTGTGTGTTGACGTGTATCTTTACCCCCAGGAGAGATATTCCTCTTTAAACACCTCCATTTTTCCGTTCAATCCCCATTGGCCGCGAAGCCGTCATTAATCAAACTGATCTCAGATTGATCATTGTTGTCCGCGTGGTACTGGCTCATTTCCTTTTTTTCGATGTGTTGGTTGACAGATTTGGCCACACGCACACACACACACACACACGCACACACACACACTCTCTCTCTCTCTCTCTTCCATGTACATGCACAGTTGCCCTGCTCACTAGTAATTTCAGCAGCGAGCACGCCTAGGGGCCTGCAGACTTCCAAGGTCGTATCTCCCTGTACTTTAATGACTGCTTTGTTGCACCACGACTGAAATCTATTCCCGACCGGGCCCTGTGTGTGTGTGTGTGTGTGTGTGTGTGTGTGTTCAGCACTTTCTGACCTTTTACTTGTTGTTGCATTTGCAACCTTTGTGTCTGATTAGCAACAGCTTCCACCCAGACTGAGGCTCAGCAGCAGCAGCAGCAGCAGCAGCAGTGTTAGTGTTGTGGGCCCTGTCAGCCCAGGCTCCCAGCATGCCTCACTTCAGCGAGTGTGTATCTCTTGTTAAGGGAGTGTCAGAGCTGAGACCAACTTCCATTTACAGTACGACATCAGCAGATTCTAATGACTTAGTGGCTCTGATACACATTAACCCAGTCTCTCACACACACGTGCAGCACAGTTCATATTGATGTTAACACTGTCCCAGGAGTCCTGTGGACTCTGCAACTTCTAATGCCAGGCCATAATTTGCTCTTTTACTCCTTCTTTCTCCCTTTCCCCCCTTCTTCTTTTTCTGCTGCTGACAGAGCAGGAGTAAACCACCCCCCCCCACCTCCTCCTCCTCCCTCTCTCCTACACCTCTGTCTCAGCTTTGTACCTGTCTCTCCCTCTCTCCACCGCCTCCCCCTTTCTTGGCCAGGTTCCCTTTTCAACTTGGTTCTGTGGTCTCCACTTCTGTCAGTCTGTTAACTGATTCATGGCTCGCCCTCACACACACACACGTCACTGTGTGAACTTCAGTTTGTTTTCTCATCATCATCATCATCATCATCTGTGCTTTCATGATCACTTTTCTCCTTAATCACAACACATTTTTTCAGCTCATTTGCTGCGACTCTGAAGTCTGGTGTTTCCGTGCCTTTCTGATGAGCTCTTTGATTTAAATGGCTCTGTAAAATTCCCTCCCAGGTTATTTCACCTCGCCGTGTCTCGCTCCACTGTTTAATTTGATACCCCTTTTGTACATTTGTTCGTGTTCAAACAGGGACTAATGTTAGGTATGTCAAGTCCACACCGAGGGTTTTCTTGGTTCATATCCAACCAACATGGGTGTTTTTTGTTTTTTTTTAGGATATTTCCTTGACAAATTGGAGAAAGGCCTTCACAGTGCACTATAGAAAGAGAATAGTAACTGGTGTGACTGATTGGGGGTCAAAGTTCACCTTGTGATGAAGTGGCACAGCCTCTATCAGTCTGTCAGTCATTCTGTCACAGCCTGGGTCTCTGAATACTGGCTGCCACTCAGTCCAGCCCCTCTTCACACAGCCGTGGCTCTGCCTCTGGGAAACTCTTGTTCTTACCCCGTCTTGTCTTTTCTGTCCCATTTTTTTGCTTCTTCCCCAGCTTTTTTTTTTATCTCAACTTTACAAGCTGTCCCTTTTCAGTCTATTATTTCTTCATCTCCAATTCTGGTTCTCTGGGAAGGGAGGAAGGAGGGAAGCATGCTAAGAGGTGTGGAATTTTTTTTTATCATCTTGGCACCCATGGCAATCCGTCACAAGGCACTTTGCCCCTTCCTTCACGCTTTCCCTCATGCTCAGCGCTCTCCTTTAAAGCTTCCTTCTTCTACCCCCCACATGAAAAGCCACTCTAGTCCTCAGGCAAACCCTCTCCCATCTCGGAGGTCTTTTCACTCGTCTGTCTGTTGTCCAAGACTACTTCTTCCCGCTTGAAGAGCCCTGTTGGAGCAATTGGTGAAGGACAGTGTGACAACTAAGGCCATGAAAAGTAATTAAATTCAGGGGGAAAAAAAAAATCACACGAGTTATTAAGTTTGCCTGAATTCCACGTATTTCAGTGAGCGCTGGTTTAAAAGGAAACAGAGATTCTGTAATCAGAAAGTGGATTTTGATTAGTTATTGTAACTAAGAAATCACTTCTTTGAATTCCAGGGAACAAACTGCAGCTACTTTCCTGAGGAAAAACATCCAGGTTTCCCACTTCACTTCTTAATCCGGCCTTAACCTTTAGCTCTAAACCCACCGTAGTCCCTTCTCCGTTTGGTCCACATTCTGGTCAGTAAATTCCTAAGTCTACATCCATGTTTCCCTCACATCACCCCCTCCCCCCTCCACACTCTTAATCTGGTCTTGTAATCTGTCTCGAGGATTCAATCTGGAGAGAATACTCTGAGAGATTTTCAAACGGATGGTAATCACTTCTTATGGGCTCAGCGGTTCATGGAAGTCGTAGGTTGACGTCCATGATCTTTCCCACCTCTGTGAGAACACGGTGTTGTTAGTGGTGATGAAAATTCCTGGAAAAGCTGACTTTCATTGAGCTTTATTATTCCTGCGGATTGTCGCAGCGTCAGAGGTAGAAGGGTCTTTGTTTTATGGACTACACCAGTCAGTGAATGCAGGCCAAAGGTTTTAGTTTCCTGAAGGCGTGTTGCTGGTCTTACCCAAGTCTGCACACTG